TTTTCTATAGTTGGTTTGTAAGGATTAGTTTTGCTTTTACGAATTGATCACGGATTGATATCAGTTAGAGAACCATTGAAAACCAGCCAGGGAGTACTGGAAAGCTGCTGTTTTATCCTAGTTTGGGAATCATCGGAAGTATGCACCCACCACAGGGAGGTTCGAACCCAGGACCTTCCGCTTACAAGGCAAGCAAGTATACCATTCAGCCACTGGGACCCGATTCAATGGCCAGTCAGTGCATGAATTCTAACTTCTACCAATTCGTGATTTTAGCGCGACCCCAACCATTGTCGTTGGTGGGACATCCATCCACATACGTGACATATAATTGGACCCCACTGGTCACGACTTCTCACTAGAACTCAGGAAACTTCATCCTGTAGCAAGTCGCTACCGAGCATCAGATTAATTTTGTTTAGTTTGGTTTGTAAAGGTTAGTTATGTTTTTACGAGTTGATCACAGATTTATATCAGTTGGAGAACCATTGAAAACCAGGGAGTAATGGACAGCTGCTGTTTCATCCTAGTGGCTGAATGATATACGAGCTTGCCTTGAAACCGTAAAGTCCTGGGTTCCAACCACAGTAGGTGCGTTCTTCCGATGATTCCCAAACTAGGATGAAACAGCTGTCCAGTACTCCCTGGTGTTCGATGGTTATCTAACTGATATCAATCCGTGATCAACTCGTAAGAATATAGAATAGGTGAAACAAACAATCACTGACTCATTCAGTGAAAAGTTTACGCATAAAAATCATTAGAAAAGCTAGTTTATGCAATATAGAGGTCAAAAATAAATGTGACCCAGGGAGCTTTCAGCGCTGAGGAGACCGTTGGGTGAAATCGCGCGTCAGGCCATTGCTCGAGTGGAACCAGGCCGAAAGGGAAGCGGCGAGTGGGACGTCAGTGCAAGGGTGACATGGAGGAGATCGTGTGAAGTGAAGAGGAGGTGGAACAGTATGGACTAACGTGGATGCAAGTGAAAAGTAGAGCAGAAGACAGAAGTGGCAAGTGGAGACGTTGAGTTGAAGCCCTATATTCCACTAGGAACCCAAGGGAACAATAATAATAATAATAATAATAATAAGTGAGTTTTCAGAAATGCGTTACATCGATGATGATTCAGTTAGCACTTGCACTACACCGTGGCATTTATGGTACCAGTGCAAAAACTAATATTTATCGTTTAATTTGAGAAATCAGTTTTGAAAACCAAATTTCAGTGATGTGATGTATAAAAAAGTAGTCTAATAGTATACGACATATCGTTAGGCAATTTAAATATATTGATTCCAATTAATTGTTTCACTCATAATCCTGTGTGTTATGAATGACTCAGCGACAAGCCTTATAGCATCAGTCATATCTTGAATTTTTACACATTCAGTGTACATTGTAGTTTAGTGAAGTTCAAAGTAACCAGTGCTAATTAGTCGATTTGCATTGTTATCATTAGTCCTATTAAATTCAGTTTTTTTTATAGTGAAATAAGTAACTTAATTGTTAGATTTCGTTAGGAACCAACATCAACTAGAGAGACTATCGAAAAACAGAGAGGACTGGACAGCGGTCTTGTCTTACCTTGAAACTCACCATCAGTGCCCACCCAAGACCTCATCGAGGATGTAACTCGGTACAAGACCAAGCCCGTTGATCATGCAGTCATTTTGTCTGGAGTTTAGTGACCCGTAAATTCTAACTTTGTCAACTCATGATATAACTCCGCTCATACAGATACCTTTGATGAGCATCCAATTCATCTTGACGTAATGGATCCTACTGGTCACTACTTCTCACTAAAGCTTCAGAACATCCATCCAGTAGCCAGCAGAAAGTAAGCTGGAGATTGGTATTTAGATTATGGGATTTGTAAGACTTTGGATTAATTTAATTTCGATTGTTCGATTTTGTCACGAACCAATATCAATTACACTGACTAACGTGAAGTGGTTGCTCATCCAAGACATCGGCGAGAGTAGCGTTATATCACGGATTGACAAAGTTAAAATTCACGGTTCACTGAATTCCAGCTTAATTGGTTGAATGGTCAGTGAGCTTGGTCCCGTAATTTGGAAGTTAGGGGTTCCATTCGTGATGAGATTATGGATGGGCACTGTTGGAGGCTCACAAGATAAGATGGAATAGTTGTCCAGTTCTCTGCTGTCTTTCAATGATCTTTCTAACTGATGTTGGTTTCTGACGAAATCTGACATGTGAATTTAAGTTAGTCGAAATTCCCACAAATCCCATAATCTGAATTAATAATTGATTGTTTATTAAATAGAAGCTTCCCCGTCGTTATATAAGGAGAGTGTTTTTGATGTCAAGTTGTAAAAGTTGAAATAAAGTAATTTTCGAGAGTTGATTTGTTTTTCAAGTTTGACCACTGAGTGATATCAGTTAAAGAGGCATTGAAAAGCAGCCACAGCCATTTCATCCTACTGAGCCATTGAGCCACGTCTCAATGGCCTATGAATTCTAAATTCTACAAATTGGTGATTGTAGCTCGACTGACACCAGCCAATGTTGTTAGCGAGCATTTGTCTTCACTTTCGACAGAATAGCACCCACTGGTCACGACAATGTGGAACGATATCAGCACTACACTACCAATTATTCATCACATTTTTAGCATAGTATAGACTGGGAACCTAATGAGCGTAAAAGTTTTGATTTATTTCTGTTTGTGTTAATACTATACAAAAGTGTTAAGTTGATTGTAAATACCCACTAATCACTTATGGGAAGATACCTTTCGAAAGTTATGTTCAGTGTACAGTGTTCTGTATAAATATTTCCATAAAGCATCGGTTTTAAAAGTTAATGATTTTATCAGTGGAAGATTTCAGACTCTTTCATAAAGTCATTTATTGTACAATCTTGAAAGTTGTTGTATTACTCCATGGAAAAAATAATGACTAACGTCCATTCTATGAAAAGCATTCTAATACAATACAGAAATTTTGTGTACTGTGGGTTAGTTCTACTTTACTATTAATACTGAAGGCTACAGCTGAAGAGATACTTTGGATTTCCAACTTACCTGCTTAAATGTTCAGTCGACGAATGAGTGAGTAGTAATTCTTTTGAAGAAGATATCACACTGTAGTTTGATAATGACATACTTACTTTTGTGTAGAATAATTGCTGAGGATGTAACAATTATGATGACTAAATGAAGATAATTGTAATCAGTTGAATGTACTAGTCAAACATATTAGTTTGTTTATTATATGTATCACACAGTGAAACAGTATTATTTACTGGACGACAAAGTTTCGAACAAAATTTATTGTTCATAATCATATCATCAATTGTAATCACACAACTTCGAAACTTGACTTTTATAGTCTCCTTTGTTCTCTGCTATTTGTCGTCGTTCGGGTAGTAGAATATTCCAGATATCCAACTGGACAGGTGTTGAATCATTTCTATTACATGTATTTGCAGTGGATTCGATAAACAAAGCTTCTGTTATCAATCTCTCCCTCCAACCTGTGACATTAGATTTTAAAACTGTCGTCCTATTGTCTGGCTGGTTGTGTGTAATTGCATGTAGTGAACGGTATAGCTGAACTAACTATTCCCCAGATTTATTATCTTATTTGGGTCAACCAATCTAGATTTTGCTAGCTTTTTATGTCCGGCTAGTCTGACTGCGCTTGTTCTACTACTTTGACCTATGTATTTGACCTGACAGTCATCGCAGGGTGTTAGATAAACTAAATTGTTTTGTTTTAAAGGCTCCACAGGATCCTTTAATCGACAAGGCTTTTTTTCTAATTGAGTTTGTGGGTTTGAATACGAGCCACGTTAATTCCTGCTTGTTAAGAATTCTGCGTAAGGTTTCCGAGGTTCCTTCCTTGTATGGAGTTACTACTGATGATTTAGGTTCTTTATTGTTGGTATTGTCTTGCGCATGTTTGACATGCATGTTGTCATTACTATTATTATTATTATTATCAACACCTGTCCAGTTGGATATCTGGAAAATTCTACTACCCGAACGACGAAAAATAGCAGAGAACAAAGGAGACTATAAAAGTCAAGTTTCGAAGTAGTGTGATTATAATTGATATGATTATGAACAATAAATTCTGTTTGAAACCTCGTCGTTCAGTGAATAATAATACTGTTTCACTGTGTGATACATCTAATAAACAAACTAATATGAAATTATTCAAGTGTTGGTTTGCAGGGATTTGATTGGTTTCAGGATTGCATCATGAGCTGACATTAGTGAGAGAACCATTGGAAAACCTGGGAGTACTGGACAGCTGTTTCGTCCCCGTTTGGGACTCTTCAGTAGTACGCACCCGCTGGGATTCGAACCCAGGACCTTCCGGTTACAAGGCGAGCTCGTATACCATTAGGCCACTGGGAATCAAACCTGGACCTCCCGTGGAGTAGAGTTGTTGAATGTTCAGATCGGAAAAGATCCTAAACTTAATGCTGATTTCAGAAGACTAATCGTTGCCTCAGAATACTATATGCCGTAAGCGACGCAGTAAAATCCGAAAACGGACTGATAATACGAGGATTGTTTATCTCTTCACCAACAATGACTTAGAACAACAGGGTTACAAAATATAAAGTCTGTGAATGAACGTTAATATAAAGCATAGTAATATTTCTTATGGTTTTTTTTCTAGTCTTCTGCAAACCAACATACGATTAGGTGAGGACTGCCGTTGTTGTTTTCCGCCAAATAGAGATTAGTTAAAAAACAAACCATGTGTTGCTCATTCAATGTTCAGCAATATTGAAAAGAGTACTAAATAATTTACTGTGCTAAATGTTGTGTTCCACATTTGAGGTCTTGATTCATTTCCCAGCTAACGGATTGTCACTATTTTTAAAGTGCTGACGGTGTTTTCTTCACTTGGTAATGAATGTTTGGCCAAAGAAAATCATTTTTAATATTAAAATATAGTTTTTTGAAAATAATAAAGTAAATTAATATTTTTATTTTTGTTGTTTGTCTACATTTATCAAAGGTGACTATACCATTTTGTGCAAGAGACGCTGACAATTATGATACAAAAGACCTTGTAATTTATGAAGAAGTTGCTATGGTATCAGGTTTTCAACGTCCTGTTGTTTGTTTAATTGGTGCACCTGGTGTTGGTCGTCGAAGTCTACGAAATATGTTAATTCGTGCTAATAGAGAAAGATATGCATCAGCTGTTGCACGTGAGTTAATTATTAGTATTCCTTTTGATGAATTATGATTTTTACTCGATAATATTTTCGTTGGGAGAGGATCATAAATACATTAAACTATATACTACTGATTCATCGAGATGAGTAGTCGTATACTACTGGCATCAACCAGTAGTGCTTGTTATTGGCCAGTGAGATCGAAGTGATGTAAACATCGGACGGCCTTTTCACTTGTTTGGGATTGTGCTCATTAACAGTGTACCCTGTTTGGCTCATCTCAAACAGCCGATTCAGTTCAATTGCGTGTTCGATTTATGGTATGACCAGTTCGACCAATTAGCTAGCCAGAAGTCCGGTGGTTTGAAATGATTCAACTCTCTGAGCTGATTCCAACCGGATACACCACTGATGAGCTCCGCCTCAAATTAATGGAACGGTCGTCTAGTGTTTAGATCACCTCGATATGGCTGGCTAGCAAGCACTACTGGTTGGTATGAGTGGTACGCTACTACTGATTTCAATCAAGTAGCAGTATGCAGTTTTATGTAAATATGAGTGGTTTCTTGATTAACATTGATGGTATCAAGGAAATCACATACTGTAATCTGTTTAATCTCAGTTTCCAGGGAGGCTATGATGATATAATCACCTCGAACTGCATAAATTGCTAATAATAATTTACTTTATTCCAAAACAGTACTTGTGATACAGAATGGAATTCTCAGCATTTTACTACAGTATTGCATCCAGTTAGAACATTAACAATAAATAAAATTCTACATAGATTATGGGTAGTCACAGTTAATTTTGACAACAACATATTAGCATATCAGTAGCAAAGCCAAAAATGAACAGAATGTTTGAAGGTGTTAGAAAAGTAGATACTAGCATATTTACTGGCGTAAGCGGTAACAAAAAGGTCGAGATATACAGACTATGAAAGAACGAAAAAAAGTGTTTTAAGTAGATCTTGTAATGAAGAGAGAAACCAAAAAAAAGAGAAAAGGTAAAGAAAGAAAGAAAACGGTGTACCTATAAATGATATGAGTTGGAAAGACGAGATCGAATTGTTCCACTGACTATTTAATAAGTTATAGGTATCACGCCTAATGCTTTCTTTATCGCACAGAACACGAGACAAGTAGGGTATGGGTGAGTGTTTGTACTTGGTAGTGAGAGTATTTAGCTTTCTATATAGTCTTTTGGTCCTGCCTGATGAGACACAAGGGGAGAGTTGTGAATGAAGAGAGTGGTGTGAGTTAGATAGAATGGATTTAGCGCATTTTTCACATGAGTCCAAGTGCCTGTCGACTAGAATATTAACATGCTGGTTATTCCAGAATGTCTTAACTTCTGGATGTAGAAGGAAAGACAGAATATTTTCTCAGAAATCATCAAGATATGAGACAGCCATATCTAACGAATTCGAAAATTGTGAATTTGATTTAGAAGATTATAAACTTTCAGAAACTCTGTTAGGTGAATTCGTTTACGCATTAATTTGCTTCAGTAGCTTGTTTTTAACCCCTAGTTGGATGGATTCCATTTTCTAATGAACAAATCTAGTGGGATGTAGTGTCATCACGCACATGCTTTTTGGGCTCAGAGAGGTATATTTATTTTGAGTTTCCAGTGAACCTAACCTTACCTATGCAAAATGTTTTTAAAATATAAGGGCCTTGTTAATATAGTCGCGCATGTATACAACCTTGAATGATAACTTTTACGTTGGTTTATTAATTTCGAACTTGAGAAATAGGAAAAATAAATTTACCCTTATTTTACTTCATCAATACTAACTGTGCAAATTTACTGAATCGTAATTAGAAGCAAAATTGCAGGATTGTGTAGATAAAAACTATTTGAAAATTCTAATAATAGGATACGTTAAATATTGTAACAACAGAAGACAAGGGCCGGCAACAGATCGTTTTATTACAGAAATCAGCACGTATTTATATATATTTCATGTACATTATTATAGCTCATTCAAGCAGACAAATACTGTCTTCTGATTGGTTGTTTCTGGTTACTCGGAAAGTTAAGCCATATATCTGCGAATCTTATTTGCCCACGTTAAGTCTTCTGTGATTGGTTGTTGAATCAGCCTTGTTCATATTTTCTCACGGCCAATATTAGTGACCTAGACATTGACGTAAATTAATGTATACAGATTGGCTAGCAGCCTGCTCTCACCACAATATTGCATTAGTGGTTTACTGGTGAAATGCTCCCGGTAGCCATAGATGGCGGAGATCCTTGTTCGATTTCCAGTGGACTCAATCTTAAACCTCGCCTAATTTACTAGATGGGCTATGATGCTAGCAGTCGTGTACACCGTGAAACGACAACCTCGCTCCTACTGAGACTTTATGTTCCACTTGGAACTCTAGGAATGAAAAGGAGATAAGTTAAATTTCCAGTATATATTCTTTTCTTTTTATTGATTATCTGACTATTATCGTTCTTTTGTTACAAGGAGATTTAACAAAAGTAATCTATATTTAGTGTTGAGGTGTTTGTTTCAAATAATAATAAGTACTTTTGTTTCTATAATATCACGTGAGATATCAAAAAAACTTTTTATAAAGGATTGGCTTTATTTTATTTTTTTGTGTGTATAAAATAACCACATCTCTTATTAAAAATGTTTAAAATATTTAGACACATCAAAAGAATTAGAGCCTGGAGAAGAAGATGACGGTGAATTTATTGTTGAACCAAAGGCTAAAATGGAAATGGAGAATTTGAAAAATAAGTATTTTGAAGTAAGCTATTTCGAACATTGTTTATTTACTGTTGGTTTTAACTGGATTTGCGTTGTTGGTATAATGTATAACTGGATTCAATAGATTTTAAGAGTTATTTTACTTGTTATTATTATAAATTTCATTAACTAAATGTGATTAATGTATAATTTAGTATGACATTTATCTCCTGATGGTAGTATACCATGTGTAATGTGGACTATGTTCTGGAAATATACACATCTGGTGGCCTGCTTAAACCACTGGGCTACCTACATTTCTATTTAGTATAATGAATCTTCTATTCAAGTGTTGGTTTGTAGGGATTTGATTGGTTACAGGATTTCATCATGAGCTGACATTAGTTAGGGAACCATTGGAGGACAAATACTCGCCGAAGACAATGGCTAGGGTCGCGCTATGTCATGATTTGGCAGAAGTTAGAATTCATGGGCTGGTCATTGGATCGCGTCCCAGTGGCTTAATGGTCTAAGAGCTAGCTCGCCTTGTAACCAGAAGGTCCTGGGTTTGAACCCCGACGTGTGTGTACTTCCGAAGAGTCTCAGATTAGGACGAAACAGCTGTTCAGTACTCCCAGGTTTTCTAATGGTTCTCTAACTAATGTCAGCTCATGATGAAATCCTGTAAGCATTTCTTATTCTCCGTTTTTTCTTGTTTTAATCGCCTAGTGATATCATTGAATCGCACCATGAGATCATGCAAAATTTTAATTTACTTCCAGCCTATTGCTATCCATTTAAAGAAAAAAATTGAAGGTAAAATGTCGTTGAGGACTGCGTCTTGTCTCAGATAGAATGACGTTCCAACATACAATATACTATCGATTGCTAATTTACTTGAAGACTCTATACGAAAAGTAAATGCATTACAACAAATTATGCTAAGAGTTGAGTATTGCGTTAACATAATATCCTCCCTGAGATTAGAACCAGTATCACCTAATACCGCGATCATAGACGTTACCACTGAGTTATTCAGCCTCGCGATTGGGCTCCTATAAGACAATTAGATTTTATGACTAAGCCCATGACAATATTTACTTACCACCCAGTGTATTCAATCAAAGTATCTAATGCAGTCCTATAGAAGGTCTGTCGCAAACCCGAATAGCTCAGTGGTAACGTCTTTAACTGCAGTACTGGTTCGAATCTCATAGGGGAGATGAGTCCCTTCATGATTGCACATATACCCTGCTGACTCGTAAATACCAACAAGCACGAAGCTTAGGTCCAAGGCCTCCTGCCGATGACGCCCAATCACCTATTAACAACAATTCAGTGTGCACCGAAGCAGTCGACTCATGAAACTAGTCACATACTACTTGGTGTGTTCAATCAAGGTACACAATATCCAGAATAAAGCTGGTATTATTATTATCGTTAACAAACAGTATATATTCACTGTTCAGTAGATTTTATTGATTATCCAGTTGTCCATAAGGAATGAGAACTACCATGAAACTATCCATTTCAGTAAAAATTAATTCACTGTAATTACTGGTCAATGTTCAGAATATAACTTATTAAAATTACATTGAAGTGGAATTATTGATTAATTTTATTGAACAGACATGTTCATTATTGACTGACATGGAGGCTTCTAGTAAGGATGCTTCAAAGATGATGACCTGGTGATTCTTATGATGTTGATTGCTTGATGGTGGTTAGCAGTGACAATCCAGGACACCAACACACTCAAGACTATCACAATAATTATATTAGCTAAAGTGAGAGAGATTGTTTGAAAAAAAACTGCCTCACAGATTTCATTTCTGACATTAATTAGAGAACGATCGAAAGCCAGGCATTACTGAACACATTTTACGTTCTAGTTCGGGACTGTACAGTAGTGTGCTCTCATTACCTCATGGGGGCTCAAGTGTATGAACTTCAGGTTACAAGGTGGACCAGTTGATCATTCATCGACTGGAATGGAATGGCCTATGAACTCTAACTTTTGCTACCTCGCGACTTATGATGCCATCGTCAGCCAATGTATTTCGGTGCGTAATAGTTCTCACATCCAAATCGGTGAGCCCTACTGGTTATGACCTACTCACTTATACGTTATTAGAGTATTCGATAAAGAAGAGAATTCAATTGTTGCGACTGAGAATTTTGATTAGTCTGGCAAGTATGTAACACATCCTCAGTTTTAATATCTTTCAGGGAGCAATTTTATTTTATCTGAAGCACGATGAGTTTGGCAAGAAGTTATGTACACCTTAATTTAAAAGTGATATGTATCCACACATATATATATATGTATGTGTGTGTGTGTGTATGTTGGTCTCTCTTTCTGTTTGCTCGCTTAGTCTGTGACCATTTCACTTGTATGAACTTGTCTCCTTTATCAATGTATATTCTCCATATATTATATTATATATAATATGAGTGTTTGTTGACAGTCCGTTGCTTGGTGACATATATCCATATATGGTTGTTCACATGTCTGCTATATTCGCTATGTATATTTGGATCGACACTCCATTATAATTAGCCATTCATGTTAAGACTGTCTAATGATTTTTCCCACGCTTTGTCTGGAACATTTATATATATTCGCATTCACAATTTGTGTGAACTACTTTACTTTACTTACTTACCACTTTGGTGTGAGACCATTTATTTTCGTCTCCTTGTGTTTGGACAATAGAAGTATCATCGCAAACCTAGTGGTCTTCTGATTTCCGCCTTCTCGCGTCAGGACTATTAGTTTCTCGACCAGTCCATAACAATAATTTAGCGACGAGTACATAACAATTTGGCGACGGGGAAAACTACTATTAACCACTCAGCAGCAGCAACATAACAATTTACTATGGATCCTTCTAAATTGGAATTATTGTTTGAACGACAAATGAAATTAATGGAAATGTTCGTCAACCAACAGACTGGTCCAGCTTCACCTTCAAGCAATCCCAATCATACCATGCTACCATCTGTCGACGGCATTGTGAACAGTATTTCACAGTTCAATTATGACCCAGAGGCTAATGTCACTTTTGACACATGGTATCAACGTTATGAGGATTTATTCACTGTTGATCTCGCCTCACAAGACGATGCCTGGAAGGTGCGAGTTTTGCTACGTAAATTGGGTCCGGCAGAATATGAACGGTACTGCAACCTAATTTTACCCAGAAACCACGTGACAAGTGTTTCGATGATACAATAAAGCTGCTGCGTGAACATTTCGGAGACCACTCCTCATTATTCAGCATACGTTATCGTTGCCTCAAGCTGGCAATGAATGAAAATGATGATTTTCTTACTCACGTTGGCACAGTCAACCGAGAATGTGAGAGATTTCGACTCAGGTCCTTAACAGATGATCAGTTCAAAGCCTTGATTCTCATATGCAGTCTCCAATCTCCTCGTTTCACAGATATCCGAACTCGACTGCTCAATCAGCTAGAACAAAATCCCAAGTTAACATTACATGACATAGCTGATGAATATCAACGGCTGATTAATCTGCAGAAAGACACACACCTGGTCGAATCAACACCTTCGAGAAGCTCTGATATTCGTGCATTACGAAAGAGCAAAAATCTCTCATCATCCAGTCCTGACCCACCTACTTCTTCTAATGTTCCGCGGAAATCTACAGATACTCGTCCAACTTCACAAAATACTGCAAAGAAGACCCCACCATCACCATGCTGGCATTGTGGCGCGTGGCACTTTGTAAAGTCTTGCCCATACAAAAATCATCGTTGCAGCAAGTGCAAAATCATCGGTCATAAAAATGGTTTTTGTCAGCCACGCAACTCAGATATCATAATCCAGCAAAAGCTCAACAAAATGTTGGTCCTAAATCTCCAAAAAGATCATTGAGTCTACGCGCAACCTGTCAAGTCACAACACCAGCTATGCGGAAATATCTTGATCTTCAGATGAATGGTCATGATGCACGTCTGCAGCTAGATACCGCCTCTGATATTACTGTTATATCAGAGAAACTTTGGAATTATATTGGCAGACCACCTATCACCAATACTTCCCAGTCTCTTCTCAGCGCCTGTGGTGGGCGGCTCAAACTAATTGGTGAACTCAAATGTTCTGTTTCCTTCCGCAATACCAAATTCACAGGAATTTGTTACGTCACGAAGAATGATTTAAATGTTTTGGGACTTGATTGGTTCGATCGTTTGCATCTGGCTGATGTCCCACTAAATTCGCTATGCAAAGCAGTCAAGAAGCATAAAATGTCAGACAATTCCGGACGGAGCCGAAGCCGCAAACCCAACAATCAGACGAAACGACAGGCGTCAACAACAAGCCCAAAGGTTCCAGATAAACCCCCAGGTAAACATCCTACTAATCATCATCTTCTCAAAAGGGGAGGTGATATGTATCCACATATATATATATATATGTATGTGTGTGTGTGCATGTTGGTCTCTCTTTCTGTTTGCTCGCTTAGTCTGTGACCACTTCACTTGTATGAACTTGTCTCCTTTATTAATGTATATTCTCCATATATTATATTATATATAATATGAGTGTTTGTTGACAGTCCGTTGCTTGGTGACATATATCCATATATGGTTGTTCACATGTCTGCTATATTCGCTATGTATATTTGGATCGACACTCCATTATAATTAGCCATTCATGTTAAGACTGTCTAATGATTTTTCCCACGCTTTGTCTGGAACATTTATATATATTCGCATTCACAATTTGTGTGAACTACTTTACTTTACTTACTTACCACTTTGGTGTGAGACCATTTATTTTCGTCTCCTTGTGTTTGGACAATAGAAGTATCATCGCAAACCTAGTGGTCTTCTGATTTCCGCCTTCTCGCGTCAGGACTATTAGTTTCTCGACCAGTCCATAACAATAATTTAGCGACGAGTACGTAACAAAAAGGTAACACCAATCCATAGGGTTATTGAGTACTGATTTAAGCTCTGTAGGAAGACGAAGATTACTTAGGTTGGGTTCTGAAAATTCACAAAGTTCGAAGTTTTGGCAGTCGTTTCAATAACAGAATGATACTTATTGTTTGTTGTTAATTCAATTTTGATTTTCCCGTTGATTGATTTGACCGGTGGCATAGCGGTTAGGACGCTCGCCGACCATGCACATGGTCTGGGGTTCGATCCCGGCCGACGCACTCCTTTACCTCGCTAAATAATGCTGGTAAAGAGGAAAGGTTGGGCGTCAGGCTAGCAACCCCATCCTGTAAAATAAACATCGATACAGAAACTTCAAGCCACTAGCTTGAAGCCATATGTTCCACTGGGGAACGTGAAGGAAAGAAAAAAAGATTTGACCGGAATGTTGACAAGCAAACAACTGACACCCATTGTACGAGAAGTGGCTGAAGTGGTTCAAATGGTCTACTCTGGCGTTTGAAATGATGGATAGTGGGTTCGAGGCTTAGTGGGAACACCATCACTCACTGGGGAATGTAGGTACATCCAACAGGCGACGAAATGTTCATCCTGGATTCCAATGCTATTCATCGCCCACGACATTACTATAGGAATGATACTTACTTGAAAATTCTTGGAAATAAATCAAGTTCCATTTATTTGGATACATGTGAATAGAAAAATTTATGTACTAAACTCTTATCTCTAATGGTATTATAATAATATGATAAATTTTCTATTTTTTATAATTTCTGTATTCTAGTTTGGTGAATTTGAAGATAATTTCTATGGAACAAAATATGATAGTATACGTGAAGTTATCAATGCAGGACGTACATGCCTGCTTGATTGTTCTGCGCATTCTGTAGCGAAATTAAGAAATTCTGAATTTATGCCATATGTAGTATTTTTAGCTGCTCCATCTGTTAGTTGTATGAAGGCAATGTATGAATACGGAATGAGTATGGGATTTACTGAGAAATGGAAAAGAGTAAGTTGAAGTGTTTAATTACCTTTAACTATCTATACCTGTGTTTATTACTAATCAGGTGATACTTACTAGTTTTATCTAATAGGAAAATTGAAATATTGAATTCGGCGGCCTGTTTAAAACTTGGGCTACCAAAAACGTTTATCTTTATATTAGCATATAAAATTCTCTTGTACACATTGTTTTAATCTATTAAAATATGATCTCTAGTCATAAAAACTGTCACTGCCTAAGAAATAAAACTGACTACCTTCAGTTTTCAGTATCCAGTTATGTTCTTGGATCTCAAAGTGTACTCCTGCAACTTTTTAAAATTGTCTTTCAACTAAATGTTGTGCATTTCTCGAAGGAGGCAAAGAAGAAACATCATAGGGGATTGGTTTCAGCTTCAGACGAGACATCGATCTGTCACATGATCCTACTGTCAATGACTAATTTTTCCTGAAAGGTCCTAGATGAAGAGAAGATATTATGCGGTAAATTCCGCTGGAAACCTTATACATTATATAAACACTGTCTGGAATAAGGCTATTATTACAGTTAGTATTATTATTGTTACAAGCTAACCTGGAATATGTCAGACGTCATCAGAAAGCTAAGTGGTTTTTCAAACCGTCATCATTTAGTATAGATAGTTTTGAAATTTTTGTTTGTATTACTTATACACTTCATACAGTTCTGTTAACCTTTACTGTATCGAACAAATCAAAAGCCCAGGTAAACGACATCAAAATAAATTTAAAAAAGTATTCTTTAGGCTAATCTAAAGAATAGCAACTATGTTGTATGAACACCCCAGTGACCTTGAACTCATATCATTCGTTGGAATACTGAACCTGTCGTAATTACAGCACCAATATGAACGGTGTGCACGAAATGAGGTGGAAATTTTTATCCTGATCTCGTTTTTAAGAACTATTTGAACAATTGGGTTCATAGCACGTTAAGGTTAAGGTTAGAATTTATCCCTAATATTAGGATTTAGGTAAGTATTAAGGTTAGGGTGTTTTATTATCATTATTATGTGTATTTTTCTTGTAAATAAATAAATGGGAGGAGAGTGTTTTGTTGTTTATATAGATGAAACTGTTTTCATAGATGCAAAACTTGAAAAATAACAACTTTCATTGGAATTGGGAAGTATTTTTCAGTTATTTCAGGGTAAAATATCATCTTTATTGTGTTTCATTATTATTATGTTAAATTTTCTGGTATTTTTGATTGCACACTAGTCAGTAACTAGTGTAATGTGTCTAGTCCTATCTTCAATGCAGACTGAATTCTATCAGTCAAGCTTGAAATGTGGTCATCATGCTAGGTGGCTCGCCATTACGGTGCACTGTGAAATGTTGGTATTAGATGGTTGGAGGCAATCGACAGGAAGCCTCGGTCCTAGGTTTCGTGCTAGTTGGCACTCATCAGAAAGGCGTATCTGCAACCTTGAAGGAACTTATCTCCCTTCTGAGATTCGAACCCGCGGCTTCCTGCCGATTGCCTCCGACCATCTAATACCAACATTTCACAGTGCACCGTAATGGTGAGCCACCTAGAATGGTGGTCACATTTCAAGCTTGTCTGATAGAATTCAGTCTGCACCGAAGATAGGACTAGACACATCTCACTAGTTACTGACTAGTGTGCAATAAAAAAAATATCCAATACAGTCCTACAGGTGGTCAATCGTGAACCTGAATAGCTCAGTGGTCACGTCTCTGACTGCAGGACTGGGTGACGCGGGTTCGAATCTCAGAAGGGACATGAGTTCCTTCAAGGTCGCAGAAACGCCTTTCTGATGAGTGCCAACTAGCACGAAACCTAGGACCGAGGCTTCCTGTCGATTGCCTCCAACCATCTAATACTTTTCTTGTATATAATACACGGTAGGTTCTTTAATCCAACCAGTGGTATGTGTTCAAGGCCACTACTGCGTTCGCACTCCATGGTTGACACTTTCTATGTTTGCTCCTTTTGAAAACACATAGAAAATCCTGCAAACATTTACCCTGTCTCCATTTATCACTAATTATTTTCTTACTACATGTGTTGTCACTTAATTGTTAAAGTGAAACTCGTTCTAAATCAAAAGAAATTGTACCTTATTGTAAAAGAGTGAGTCAATGGTTCAGTGGGAGAATACTTGCCAACGATGGATGCGGTTCGGAGTTCCATCCTCGACCGATGCACTCTCATCCCCGCAACTTAGCTGATAGTAAACCTGGTAAAGATAGAAGGTGGAGAGTGGAAAAAAGAAAGAGAATACCAGGGCTTTTGAAAATTCGAAGCTCAATGCTTGAAGCCTTATGTTTCACTTGGAACGCAAAAGAAATAAATGAGTAAATAATGTAACAGTAGAATTTGGGGGCTGTTATAAAGTATAATTCCATAATAGGTGGGTTTATTTGATATAACACACACACACACACACTGATACAGTGTTAATAACTAACGTTTCTAGAACAGTTTATTGCTCATAATCATATCAATTTATTCATACAATTTCCTGACTTGCTTCACACATATACTGGGTGTAGTTGCTGCATCATTCCGATTGCATATGTTTGTTGTTAGTTTGATAAATAAAGATTTAATGATTAACGTTCCTCTCCATCTTATTAAATTCCTTTTTGAATCATTTACACCAACTAACTCAGTCACAGACAAATCGAATTAGGAGAAATAATTTATTGGTTGGAGGATTTCATCATGAGCTGAAAACAGTTAGAAACCAGTGGAAAATCAGCAGGGAGTTCTGGAAAGCTGTTTCGTCCTGGTTTGGGACTTTTCATCAGTACGCACTCACCAGGGTTCGAACCCAGGACATTCCGGTTACAAGGCTAGCGAGCTCGTATACCAATTTAGCCACTGGGACCCGATCCAATGCCCAGCCCATGCATTCTGACTTCTGCCAAATTATGACCACTTCACAATGTCTTCTTCGAAGAGTTACTGCCTCACCTTCAATCTGCTTGCCCCCTTCAAAAAAAGAAATAATTCAATTTACCAAATATTAAGTAAGTCGGAGGTCAATTACACAGGTCAAACATGTAGATCAGGGTCATTTAGGCTATTGGAACGTAGAAATTTAAGTAAGATATAGAATGATTGAGCGTGCTAAATTAAATAATCTAGGAAAAAAGCTTTGCTATTTCAAGTCATCAGTTTCCATGTAATCATATGATAGAGTGAAACAGGGTAAAAGTCTTAAAATATATTTAGGCGGAAAGGGAAGTTAATCACTGAATCTTTGTTCATCAAATTAACACCACACATAAGCAATAGGAATGACGCAACATTTATATCGGGTAAATGGAAGTAAGGCTGTATGAAGGAAGTTGTGTAAATGAGTTGATATGATTATGAGCAATGAATTGCTCTCGAAAAGTCAGCCATTTATTGATTCTACACCGCACTTAGTTGTATCAGATAAATTTATCGGCGAAGTTAAACTTTCGACACCACTAACTACCAATCAGCGAATTATCCAATGAGATTCACGGACGATGTCGAATTATCCAATGAGGATCACGAACGCAGTTGAATGTTGTACAGCGCCTGATTCATTTCTAATGCGTGACCTTACAAGGCTGTTGTTGCAATTCGAGGAGGTTAGTGTTTCCCAGTATTTCCTAGATTTCAGTTGCTCCGGAAAGAACGAATTTGATTGTGTGGTGGTATCATGACTTTAAAAAGCTAAACCAAATCAACTGATGGGTTTGTTCATCGTTGTGCTATATGTTTGAATCCTACTAACACTAGAGAGGGTATGCTGATAATTTTAGTATTTCGTAGGAACTTTTTTCGCTAGGTCGCTTCTCTCCCTAAGGATAGCAGATAGAAAAGCAACTACTCTTATACCTATTGTTACCAGAATTGTTAAGCGGGGGTCAATTATACACATGGAAAGGCTACAATTCGCTGTCATCTCTGGGATATATTCATCGTAGAGACAACCATTCAAGTGATTTTGTGGATCCCGTTACGAGGACACATACAAATTCTAATGAAGGATTTTGGGGCAGGTTGGAAAATAGGATAAGGGCTATAAATGTATCTCAAAAGGATCTCATTTATAGTCATTTGGATGAATATATGTACAGGATATGGTGTAACTTCTCCATTGACAGTCCCATGCTAAACTGGGAGATTTTTCTCTCACCTGTTCGAGAAAGATATCCCTCGTTACCTTTTTTATTATCCATTTTATGCTTTTTTCTATAAATATACATTTTCATTCATCATATATGCCTCTTTAATGTGATTGGTCCGTTCGAGGTCGTTTGCTGATTGGTAGTTAGTGGTGTCGAAAGTTTAACTTTGCCAATTTATCTAGTGTGAAAGCCTCATCTTACTTATCTAACCGTGATACTTCTTTTGTAAATGGTGTTAATTTTGAAGTAATGGAATTCAACTACTCAAATTAATTAGTAGCTTATTTCATATTCATCTGTTTCACCGATTAAGAAGTGTATAAGCTTTTATTTGCATGTCATTCACATAAACTGTGTATAAGTGTTCAAGTTTCTAACTGAGTTTTCCATCTAATCAGAGTGATATTTTTGCTGTCAAGCTGCCAGTATAAATTTTCAGATAGTTACCCCAATGATTCTTATAACTGGCTGAACTTTACTGCTGAAACAACAGTAGTGTTTGTGATAGTAATAGTAGCATTCTGAAAAGAAGTAATCTCCAGATTGAATCGCCAGCTGACATCAATTACACAACCATCGGAAGACCAGAGAGTTACTGGACAGCTGTCCACTCCTAGCTTAGGACTCTTCAGAAGTGCAAAGCAATCGGGGTTCGGACCTAGAACCTTCCGATTACAAGGCGAGCTTGTAGACCATTTAGCCACTGGGACCTGACTCAACAGACCATGATATTCCGACGTCTACCTTGTTTTCCAATGATTGTGTAACTGATTTTGGCTTGTGATCGGACTTATAACCAATCAAATCCCTGGAAAGCAACTCTTGAAAATTAATCCGATGTTCACTGGCGACTGTCTCCTTACAGGTAAGTTGTCTGAAGTTCTAGTGAGAAGTCGTGATGAGGTGAGGTTTACCAAGTCAGATAAGAGAATAGTTACTCATCTATGACACTGTCTGGCGAAGGCGCTTTATGCATCGCAAATTGGCAGAAGTTGGAACCCATGGACAATTGGATCAGGTTGAAAGAGTTTTCCAGTACTACCTAGTTTTCCAATAGTTCTTTAACTGATATTAGCTCGTGACTTAACCTGTAATAAATCAAATCCCTGCAAATTAACACTTGATACGTAATCTTCAGACAGAAAAAGAATGAAAATAATTATTCCTTGTTTATTATAATCGAGTGGTCAAGGTTACCAAATAACGTCTGGTTATTTCTTCTAAATTAGGTGAACAATGTCTCTATGCATTTATAAACCAGTTGGCCTTGAAGTTTTACGTCATCATTGGTTGTAAACAATTCATAGACTGATATTTTTCTTAAAAACATTTTCCCTCAGTCTTGAAATTCAATTTGTTTTTAAGAGTATCTAGGATGAAGTTAGGATCCGTGGAAGAGAATATGTGGACCAAGCTATAGGTCATACTTATTGTGCGACAGATCCTGAGAATACCCAGTTGTACAGACAGAAGTAGGTAGGGTGGAGTTCTAACAAGTAGCTCATTGGCTAGCGGCTAAGCTTACCGTTGTTTTGATGTTACGCCACGAATCAACAGGCAAGTGAATTTCAGCGTGGTGACTGATTTTTAATGAATGAGCCTCATAATCTAACGGTCCTAAGCTTTATCTGTCACAGGAATGTAAGTAAGTAGGCAATTCTGACAAGTTGAAAACTTAGATGAAACAGCCTTATAATGTTTTTTCTAAGTAATGCATGTGATGAAAACAACTCTGAAATACTGACTACATTCAAAGTTGATAGATAAGCCTTCAGATTTTGTTCAACTTATGATTAGATTGTAGATCATAAAAATACTGATGAATGAACACTTAGATGTAGAATTTTATTAAGTCGGTATTCTTTTTTGCCATAATACTGTGCATATGACGTAAAGTGTAAATAACTTGTTAATTTATCAGTGAAAAATGCCATTTGTATGGCATCACTACATACAGTTCTCATAGAATTAACTAATCAGTTAAAATCTATACATTCCATATTATTCACTGAAACATTTCTTATAAGCAATATACTATTTGAAAATTTACACCGACTATTTGTACAAACCAAAAATCAATCACGAAATGCCTATTTCTTTTCTAAATCCTTAAAAGTTTCTCAGAATAATTCCAGGCCTCACATTTTTATCTATTTTAACATTATTCCTTTGCCTACCGAGTGGAACATAAGGCTCCATGCTTGAGATTTGAAGTTTCAATAGTAGTGGTTTTATTTTTACGGGATGGATCTGATATTCTCATGCACAACATTCCCTCTTTATAGGACTTACTTCCAGTTAAGGGAGATTAAGAAGGGATCGAACTCCAAACTAAATGTGTGATTAGCAAGTATTCTACCGCTACACCACCGATAATAACATGAGGATTGTTATAATTCGCTAAGTTAGTACCTATATCTGCTTCTTTTTTAAATGGTATCAAGCAGGTTACACATTATGGTCTGAATAATTTCAGAAACTCAAGTGAAATTATACCTCGAAGTCGGTAAATTGCAAGTAGCGAAGTAATTTCCAAATTGAGAATTCGAATTGGTGAAATGTCACCTACGCTCTGTATGATGATGATGATGATACGTAGCGTTGCAATTTGGTTTACACATAATTTGCTTTTCCTGAATCCATGTTGTTTCGGGCGAAGCTGATCTTCCAGAATATCTTTCGGTCCTTCTCCAGGAAGATGAGACTTGTTTGGAGTCGACAGGAGCATGAATCTGCACCACTCCTTGCAAAGATATATAATAAGTAATAAATAATCTTCTCCTAATCATTACTGATAAGAATCACTTTCATCTTCCTACATATATTTTTTTCTTTATTTATTTTTTTGTACTCAAAACAGGATGAATCATTTCGTAAAACCCTTGAAACTAGTACATATATTGAAAGTAATTATCGTTATTTAATGGATTTAATTTTATTATGTGATAATATTGAAACAACTTTTGAACAGCTGAATTATCATTTAAACAATCTATTAACAGAACCTCAATGGGTACCAGCTAAATGGTTGTATTAACTAACAACATAAACAACATTAAAACTGGATTGAAAAGAAAAATCCCCATTTAAAATGCGATTGATTGTATTGCTGCAATATGTATAACACTAATCATTCCTCTGAAATGCATCTTTATTTGCTCAATCAATAATTAATATATATGTGTATATAATGACAGCTTTTTCTAATAAGAAATTATTTTGCAAATTATTATTTAATTAGTTTTACTGCTAAAAATTTGATTTTATACTTTTTTTAGACTATTTATCAAATTAATTGTTCTCCTCTATATTTGCTCTTCCTTGTCTAATTTTGTTTTTATTATTTTTATTACTCTACATGAAATTATACCTCTAATGTAAAGTTAAAAAAAAGAGAGGAGTAATCTCAGGTATCTATCATCCATTTACTTAACATTTTTCTTATTTGATTTAATATAAATAATAGTATGAAACCTGTCAATTCTTGACTTTACACACTGGAGCCAGTTACATATTCATATTGAAAGAGTATGGACTAACATGGATGCGGGTGAAAAGTAGAGCAGAAGATAGAAGCAAGTGGAGACGTGCAGTTGAAGCCCTATGTCCCACTAGGAACCCAAGGGAGCAATAATAATAATAAGCACTCATGTGATGTGAAGTTAGATTCCCGGATGATACAATCCTAAAGCTTTCCTAATTTACGAATCCGAGAAAAGACAGAAAGTTAGGCGTGAGATGAACCGTATAAAACAATACCATACTTACTGGAACTTCATAGTTTGAAGTCCTGTGTTTCAGTAGGAACGCAAAAGAATGGGAAGAAATAGATGAAAAGGTGTATAGCTTTTGTTATCACAGTGACCGGAAAGTGACGGGATTATTAGTGTCTAAGTGAGAGCAGATTATTCAATAGCAGTCAAGAGAAATAATAACCAAGGCACCAGAGTATTTGAAGTGCAGACACTACTAAGTCACACAAATTACTGATTTCTTATGATAATGAGAGAACTTTAGAAGAAATTGTTCGTTCCATCTTTTTAGTTAAGTCATTCAAAACTTACTAATGGAAGTCATACAGCGAATTGTGAACTCATGCATACAACAGTTCGTAGTCAGCGTTAGAATTTCTGTAATGGAAGAAACCACTTAGATTCATTATTTTCGAACAAGTCTCAGTAAGTCATTTTTGGTCATCTGTAGAAAAATTGTACTTTTTGAATTTCAACTATTTTAGGGAATTAGATCTAAAAATTAGCAGATTCCAATAAGCAGACTTTATTTTTAATTTCCTTAAACTTCACTCCACTGTCAGTAGTATACACAATACAGTTTCTGCATCTTATCGTAACTGGAATTATCACTAACTAATCTGAAGCACTTATACAAAACCTAAGTGTGATCATTTATTTATTAATAATTGAGGAATATGACGAATCTGAGAAATTCATCTCACAATTTAATTTTCACAAACATACTGGCGAAAGAATAGCATAAAGCTGTTTAGCAGAAATTTCACTGATCGACTGGATCCCATCAGAAAGTCATCTGTTAAAACGGATCCATGAAGAAATCGAGAGACAGTGATCATCTTTGATGTGGTGATCCACCTATTCACAACAGTTCAGACGATATGACAAATAATGAGTTTTATCGATTGTCCGATTTGCTCAAAACAGTGAAACCCTCAAGTAAAGTTATCAGAGTAAATGATTTCACTGCTGTAATAGAAGAACTGAGTCAATCAGTGGAATGTTAAACCTATTGGTATACGACTCTGGGGCTTCAGTCACGAGCTGTTAAACTCACGTATGTACCTATAACTATATGAGTATAAGAAGTATTCACTAATTAGCCGTTAATTCTACATTTTGATGAAATATAAATGAAGAGGCCTTCAGCAAAGAATTACTCTTTCCAGCGACATCATTCTCAAGCTGTACGATCGCATATAAAGTGAATTTTCACAGCGACAAAAGGAATATTTCCAAAGATGTTTCATTAGAATTGAGATTGTCTTAGATAACAGTTACGTAACACAGGAAGAGTTAATTCGATAGAAACTGAATTAAAATTAAGTAAGTAAATTGCGTCACACAGTGCAAATAACGGGATTGAGTAGTACTTAACTGGAAATTGACAGTCAAATTGAGAACAGTAATAATAAGGAGTAGATATATAACAGTGGTGTTAAGACAGATCAAGTCCATTGTGGATTCAGTGACTGACCAAACTTCTCCTGCATGCGGATTTCATGAATTAACATATGGACAGCCATCACTTCCACGGTTTGAAGAAGTTTGGTTTATATTGCTTTAGCAAGATTTCAAAACATTGTCTACATGACTTCGAAGTTGGTTTGCGGATTAACTCGTAATCCACAGTCGATCAGATATTCCAGAATACAGCTATCATTGGGAGAGGTGGGGTCTTTCTTCTCCTTGAGGGTAAGCGTTGGATGATACGACTGAACAGCAAACGCCGAGTAAAGTGAACATACATAGCTCCACAACAGCAGGTGAACTTATAGATACACACTGCTGAGGCCAGCATTACCTTCACATTCATTGGTTTCATAGAGAAAGTGAGTCGGAGTTCAGTTGCGAAGGTTTGTGCCAATAAATAGGACAGGTGGTTTCTCAATATTTATGCCAATCATTCTCCATTGAATGGATTTTCTGATGAATTGTTCGGGGAAGTCATTTTGAATGAGAATAATTTTTAGTGCTCAGTTTCTCTTCGATAGTGTCAGGACTGCAAATGTTGAGAATTCTGTGGTCCAATAAACGGATCAGGTTTCATTCTGTATATAAAGGCACCCAACTATGGGACTTTGATGAAAATATTACGATTACGTTTGAGGAGGAGAGATTTATGTGAGCACGATAGTGATACTCATTGGCTGTAGAAACAGCGTTGCAGGCAACCGACAACTAGCACTTAGAACTTAATGATCAGGAGTGTAATGTGATTAGCAACAATTAGGTTGAGACAAGTGACACTCGGTCGACGGCGATATATAACTCCATTGACTGGGGTTGCTAGGATATTATTATTGCTCCCTTGGGTTCCTAGTGGAACATAGGGCTTCAACTGCACGTCTCCACTTGCCACTTCTGTCTTCTGCTCTACTTTTCACCTGCATCCACGTTAGTCCATACTCTTTCAACTCCTCTTCACTTCACACGATCTCCTCCATCTCACCCTTGCACTGACGTCCCACTCGCCGCTTCCCATTCTGTCGGGTTCCACTCGAGGAATGGCCTGACGCGCGCGCGATGTCACCCAGCGGCGGCCTCCTCAGCGAGTGACCAATCCATCTCCACTTTCTCCTGCATATTTGTTGGTTGGCGATTGGTTCTTGTTTCGTTTGTGTGTTCCCATAGTTTCTTGTTGGTGATTCTTTCCGGCCCAGCCATCTGATCTTCAGTATACAGCGAAGACAGTTGTTGGTTGATAAATGTCTGCAAAAGGCTGTTGGAAATATTCTTTGTGACCAGCCCGCCAAGTTTCTGATCCGTATAGAAGAACTGACCGACTTGACGTTTGTATTGAACATGTCAAAATAACGCTATCTCGACGAGAAACAGTTGGATTATTACAGGAATAATCCCCTTCAGTGAGTCACCAAGTTGGCAGAAGAAGCATCAAAGATAGGACTTCAGGTGAGCATAGAGAAAACAGAGTTGATGAAGATTCCTGGCCAACAACAACAGATAACAATCAGCACAAATTGGAGGATTCTGAAAGAAACAACTTCCTTCACCTTCCTACCTAGGAAGCATCGTCTCATCTACAGACGGACAGAACTGATGAGGATATCAAAGCAAGGATCGGGAAAGCAAGACAAACTTTCATTACTCTCAAGTCCATGTGGAGGTCAACAGCACTACTCCAATGTAAATTCAGTCAGTGCTACTCATTATACGGATCAGAGAGTAGGCGCGTCACGAAGGGCACTTCGAACAAACTACAGACCATCAGCAGCTGTCTTCGCTCAATACTAAAGATCAGATTACTGGCCAGAAAAGATCAGCAACAGGGATCTCTGGGAGTGAACCAACCAGGAACCGACTGTGCAACAAATAAGCAGGAAGAAATAGGAGGGATTGGCCATACTCTGAGAAAACCATTAAGTGACATCACACACCAAGCCATCGCCCTAGTGGTACCCGGAAGGGAAGCGGCGAGTTGGTCGCCCATGGGTGACTTGGAGGTCATGTGAAGAGGAGATGAAAGCATGTGGGCAGACTTGGAGCCAGGTGGAAGTGTTGGCTGAGAACCGAACGCAATAGAGACGTGAGGCTGAAGCCCTATGTTCCTCTAGGAACTAAAGGAAATAATAATAAGTCTCACATCATATACAATCTGGTTTGGCAAAAATGACATTCTGTCCGTAACCAAAAACCAATACAAATCAGTGGATTTCCGTGACCTTATCCAAACTGATTGAAGCAGAGACTAGTCTAGGCTAGCTACGGTCACGATAATGAGTGATTTACCAACGCAGAAAGAATGTTAGACAAAAGTACATCAGTGTGGGTTTCCACATTTCGGAAAATCCTACGTTAAAGTTGGGGGAACGAAGTGCGATGAAAGATGTAATGGATACAGAATGATAAGCCAGAAATTAGAGGGATTTTTCCTGAATGAAAACATTTTGACCATTTTATGAAACAACCAATCATTTATTTTTGGCATTTGAAGGACTCAACTAGGCAGTCTATATCCTCCTATAAGGCTCAAACCAAACTGTCAAACATTTCATTGGCATATGACGTGTTCCCTTCTGATCATTCTGAATTCCTTTAAATAATTATCCTGTTTCAACTAACAGTGCTCGTCAAGAAAGGTACAACTTAGGTGTATTTAATGTGTATTAGGCTTCTCAATCGATGGAATGTTACAACCTTATCGATTGCCATCCCCTTCATATCTAATAGTTTACGGCTAACCTTATTATGACGCCAGTGAACACGGACACGTATGGTCATAAACGGTTTGTTTCCTCATACTTTCTACTTTCAAACGTCATGT